CATTGAACACCTTCAAGAGCAAATTGGATGCTTATCTTGCTGGGATCCTATGACCCCAGTTGACTTCCTGTCCTTCGGGCGGGGGGCTGGACTCAATGATCTTCCGAGGTCCCTTCCAGCCCTAATGTCTATGAAAGGCTATGAACTGCATTATGTTCTGTTCCACCCACTTTTCCAACCTATCCAGATCCACCTGGATTCATTCCCTACCCTCTGGTGTGTTAACCAGGCCCCATAATTTGGTATCATCTGCGAATTTCCACGCTTTCATCTAAGTCACTGTTGAAGACATTGAACAGCACCGGTCCAAGGACTGAGACTTGTGGGACCCCACTGCCCACATCCTTTCAGGTCAATACTGGCCCATCCACCACCACTGTCTGGGTGTGACCCCTAAGCCAATTTGCCACCCACTTGGCCATGTAATCATCTACGTTACAGTCACTCTGTTTATCTATAAAAGTATAATGAGATACTGTATTGAAGGCCTTCTTAAAATCCAAGTAGATGACATCCACTTCGATTCTTGCATTTAAGCCTTTTGTGACCTGGTCGTAGAAAGAAACAAGGTTAGTCAGGCAGGATCTACCTGCTATGAATCCACGGTGGTTGCTATTTAGCATTGCTTTTCCCCACTGGACTCCCAGAAATGTGATCCTTAATTTTTTCAAAGGTTTTCCTGAGGATAGAGGTGAGACTAACTTGTCTATAGTTACCCAGATCCTTCTTCCTCCCCTTCTCGAAAATAGGGATCACATTGGCCTTTTTCCAGTCCTCTGGGACCTGACCTGAGTACCAAGAGTGCTCGAACACCCATGCCAATGGCTCTGCTATCACACCGGCCAATTCCTTCAGTACCCTTGAATGAACATCATCTGGGGCTGGTGACTTAAACACATCCAGCCCCTCCAAGTGTCTCTTCACTAAGTCGGTGCTAACAGTTAGTGGGCTGGTTCCCTCTTTATGCCTGTCTATGATCCAGTTGGGAGATTTGTCCTGATCCGAGTTCAGGAATACAGAGGCAAAAAACTCATTGAAGAGCTCAGCTTTGTCCCCCCATCTGTCACTAATTGCCCTAGTTTGTCTTGTAGGGGGCCTATGCTACCCTGTGCCTTTTTTTTGCTCCCCATATACCTGAAGAAGGACTTTTTGTTGTCTTTAAGTTTTGTTGCCATCCTAAGTTCCAGTTTGCTTTGGCCTTTCTGACTGCCTCCCTGCAAGTGTGGGCCAAGTAGGTATACTCTGCCTTGGTACATACCTCCTGCTTCCACAGCCTTTATGCCCCTTTTTTTGCCCCAAGGCTTTCCTGGATTTCCCTGTTCAGCCAAGAGGGCTTCTTGGCCCCTTTGCCCCCTTTCATGAACAAGGGAATTATCTCCTTCTGTGCTCGTAGGACTGCTCCCTTTAGGAATCACCACCCTTCCTGGATTCCCATCTCACCAATTCTCCTGCCTCACTAATTAATCTCCTGAGCACACTGAAGTTAGCCTTTCTGAAGTCTGGCACTTATCTACTGGTCATCTTTCCTACCTTATGCCAGATAGTGAATTCAGTCAAGTGATGGTCACTGTCCCCTGGTTACCTTGTGTCAGTAGATCCCTCACCAAATCATCCCCTGTAGCCAGAACCAAGTGCAGTAAGGCATTTCCCTTAGTGGGACCATATATCTCCTGTGTTAGGTGAAGGTCCTGTATGCAGGTTAAGAACCTATGTGAATGGTTGGATCTAGCTGACTGTTCCTCCCAGCAGATGTCTGGGTGGTTTAGGTCACCCATGACAACCATGTTCCTTGACTGTATGGCCTCTGAGACCTAGCTGGAGCATTCCAGGTCCAACTCCTCCTCCTGATGTGGTGGCCTGTAGTAGACCCCCCACTACCAAGTCCCTTTCCCCCCAACCCCTTTGCATTTTGACCCACAATACCTCAGTTTGCCCCTCCTCTGATCCCATCTTGATTATGGAAGATGTATATTGCTCCTTTACATAGAGAGCAACACCTCACCCTTTTCTCCCTACTCTATCTCGTCTGTACAGCCTATAGCCCTCAATAGTTTCCTGCAAATGTTTTCTTGGGTAAAATCACTCACAGAGTAGCAAGTGGAGAAGGGGAATTAGCCAACTCAACTTACTAGTATGTGTGTAGTCCCCCATGCCATTCACCCGTGTGTTGTGTCCGTAGGGCTTTTTCTGGTTTCGCCATTGCTTAAGGATGAGACAAGATTGTTACTGGGTTAGATCTTGGAAGGTTCCCCAGGGGTCTCTCCTGCCACGTCTTGCTGGAATGAATTATTTCAATTGAGAGGAAGATGGTTTGTCCTGCCCTTCCTGGTACTTTCCTTCAGTCTTCCTGACTGTACTTCCTACTTGGGGCTCCGCCTCCCCTACACCCCACCTAACACCAACCAAAGATGTTGTTTCTGGATTGCTAAAGCTGGTACAGTATAAACCCTGGTGTTCCAGTCCTCTGAATTTATGATGGTCAGACTGGGATGTTACTTCATCCAAGTTTTCCCCAACTGTACTTGGTCCTGCCTAAACGTCTTCCCGACTCCAGGTCACCTTGCTCCCTGGCACCTCTCTCTCATCTCTATACTTGCCGTGGCTCAGACATCTACCTCTTCTTGTCCCTTCAGGTCCCATCTGGGTCTAATCTAGGCTGGAGATGTCCAATGTCCATGGTGCTTCTTCCGGTGAGTCACTGAGCCTTGTCTGGCTCTGCTTATCTGGGAAAGCCCCTTCCTGGGGCAGCTACAGCATCCCTTCAGTGGGGCTCCGTACTGTTCCCAGCCACTCTGGGCCTGTCGTGGAACTTACTTCTGGTCCCCTGAGTTGCTCTTCTTCCAGGCCTTTTATCCCAGTCTCAGTGGGCTGGCCGGCAAATTGGCCCCTGCACATGGCCACAAAATGTGCCTACTCTGAGGCAGAAGCTGACCCCTGCTCCTCCTGGCTCCACTGTTTTTTTCCCCTTTTTTCTTTTAATGCGGAGTCTTCTCCCACTGTGGTTTCACTTTCACCGTGTCCTTGTTCCAGTGCGGCGACCAGCCGGCTCCGCTTCTCACCCAGTTGGGGTCTTTCCTATCCCAGTGTGACACACCTGAGCCCCTGATTAGACATGGCATGTGATGGCATGGCAAGTGATGGCATGATTGGGTCTGGAGGAATTGTATACCACATCCCAAACATGTTGCCTCCTGCCAAAGCAGACATGTATGGTAGGAGGCACAATGTTTGGGATGGGGCCTAAAATCCCTCTAGTCCTGACTGTGCCATGGCTGAGTTGCCCCCAGTCCAGTCCTGCAGACTGGTCAGGGAGTGACTCTGTCCTTGATCCAGAATACCTCCATCCCCCTACAGATTCCAGATCTGAGGTTGTTGGGGCTGGGTCGGACAATCACCTGATTGTTGGACTTGGGCCCGACAGCCCCGGGTGCATTTGAGGTCTGGAGTTGTTGACAATCAGGTGATTGTCAGACCAGACCCTGGCAGTTTTTGGTACAGTTCAAGATCTCACCCTGACAGTCCTGGGTCTAGTTCAAGATCTGACCCTGACAGTCACGGGTCCAATTCAAGACCCCAAGCTGTTGGGCCAGGTCCAACAATTAGTTGATTGTTGGATCTCCGCCAGCAGTCCAGGGTGGGTTTCAGACCCAGGACAGTGGAGGAGGCTCTAACAATCAGATGATTGACAGCCAACTCCAGGTCAGCTCAGCTGGATGTATGGCTTTTAGAAGACCTGGGCACTGGGACCATGGAACTGGGGAGCCTCTCAAAAGCATATGTTGTCATGGCTTCCTGCAACCCAGCATTTTTAAGTAAAAGGCTGCAGGCTCAGGGGTTGCCAGGGTTCCAGTGGCCAGAGTCCCTTGACTCCCCTTGCCAGGGCACTTTGCAACCTGTTCTCTCAGCAGCTGTTTTTCAGCATTGGGATCGGGGATGTCCTGGTATCAGTGTTGACCCCATTTCCATGTCCATGCTGACAATCAGCTAATTGTCAGCATTGGTATGGGGGTGCTAGACATTCAATTTGTGGTGCCATAAAAATCAACCACAAATATGTTTCATATTTTTGTGGAACAACTTTGTGGCTGGTTTACCACTTTATGGCACCATGTATCAGCTGAAAGTGTAGCACCCCCACACCACTGTTGACAATCAGCATTGACATGGAAAGAGGGTCAGCATTCATACCAGCACAGACCTGATCCCAATGCTGAAAAGCGGCTGCTGAGAGAACAGGTTGGAAGGATCCCAACTTGGGGAAGACAAGGGACTCTAATCACTAGGAACCTGGCAACACATTAATCTCATGATAACTGAAATGTGTGCCAGTGGCCTTGGAAAGCCATAGTGTATCCTGGCCCATCTGCAGAGCACTGGAGCATTTCCACATAAGTGTTGTGCCAAGTTGCTTTGTTCTATATCCACAATAACATGGCTCCATCAGGGACCATACTTCCATGGCGTCCTGGATATCCAATGTCCTAGAATTGCTTCCCCCTCATGAAAGTTTTAGGGTGCATCCAGAGGAGCATACATATGCTTATCCTCACAGACAAATACTTGCCCACAGGGAATGCCTGTGCATGTGTGCTCTGGTGCATGGCAAATTGGCCCAGGTAGGGTAGGGTAGGGCAGCCCAGGTGCTGGCCCCAGCAACCTTACTTTGGGTCCTAGGGGCCTCCCAGGGCTCCAGCAGCAGGGAGCCTGGCCAGCAGCCAGAGGATGGCTCTGGCTAGCTAGGCTTCAGATTCAGGTGGTGTACACTGCTGCTGTGTGCACCACCATTTATTTTCAGGCACGGGTTTTTCTGACACCAGGATCTCAGTGTCAACAAACCCTGGAGTCAAAACCTCCCCCTCCTCCATGCTGCAAATTAGCAGCATAGGGAATGCCTGCATATGTGGCTTGTGCAGTGCCATATACCACACGTACATGCTCATCTGGACCCACTCTTAGTGTGCTGAGGTGGAATGAGTGTGAGTGATTGCTGTTTGCATTATATTGCCCTACAATATCATAGCAGGGTTTGGAGGAGGAAGGATTCTGCAGAGAGGCTGTCTTCATCTGTGGCAATTTCCTCATCTGTTACAGTGACATGCACATTTGGGGCCCTGTCTATGAAGCCTTAACTCCTGTGAGTAATACTTTACATTACTTTTTTTGATTTGTTTCAATGCGAGCTACTCATGGAAGCAAAAGCTATGGGCCAGATTCTACATTCCACCTATTAGGCTTCCATTTGGAATTAGGTGCCTAAGTGTGATTTTTCTTCCACCCTGTTCAAATCGTGAAAATCCGTTACTTTTGTAACATACCATCATCTTACCCTTAATACTGAGTGACAGAAAGCAGTGAGGTGGAGGAGCACCCATTAACATTTTATATTAAACAATTTTTCAAGCACATTGGAATAGATTCTTGCCCAATAAACTTAGACTTTTATTCTTCAAACCTCCAGCTTACTCAGGCTTCAGATACTTTTAGTTTCATATTTTCCAGACTGTCATACAGGTGATATATAAAAGTCCTCCAGCAAGAAATACATGTGCAGTCCGATACATGGGCCCAGTCAACCAGCTTAGTTTAAGTATGCTCAAGTAAATGTGTATCATCCCTTAAAAGCTGTTACAGAAAGGAAATGAATATAAAAGGAAAAGAAATGTAAATGCCTCAGGGAATACAGAATTATCATAATACTAATGATATTTTGGTGTATTAATGACCATGAACCCCATCCAGCAACTTACTGGTGGCTCTATCTATATCTTTTCTATCTACTAAACAAATAGCCAAGCAATCAGTGACACCGGAAAATTTTGGGGGCAGGGGCTTTCTTCATTATATATGTACACGGCATCTTCACAATGGAGCCTTCTTCCTTACAGGCCTCTAGGCAATATGTAATGTAGTTATTAAATAGTAATAATTTGTCTCTCATTTTCATCATGGTGGTATCTGATTACTAGTTAATGAGCTGTGTGACCGATCAGGACTTTTTAATATGGAACACCTTTCCGCTATACCCCTGTAGCTACTACACATTACAGATCCTGTGAATCAGACTGATCAGTAATTTACACTTACGTTCCATTTTAATTTCACAGCTTTTGCCAACTTCCATGATAAAAGCAGCTAATTCAGTAACCTTTTAACGACCATGTGTGGAATTCATTTTTATCTGTTTTGAAGATTATGTTTTCACATAAACTTCTATTGGCTACAACAGTTTCATTGATTGAATCAACTAGAGGTTTGGATTTTTTGGTTTTATTTTGGTCTTGCAAAGATATTGAGTTTTATTGGACTGCTTGATCTTCTTTAAACATTTAATCTTCCTCTCTTTTAGCAAGTAGTTTGTATAGTTAGAACTAAGTTTTGTCATTATTAGTAAACCATGTTGTATATTACTTACAGAATTGGAGAAGAGTTTACATATAACCCAGCATCATGTATACTTGGGGGGGGGGGGGAGGGGTTT